AGGACCCCGATTCCTGTTATGATGAATAGTGACGGTTCGAGATATCCGACAGCACAATTAAAAGCCGAGCATTCTCTACCAGTTCTTTCGGTCGGTTATCACCAGAAAAACTACTTTCATTCCACCTAGAGATGACAATTTCCAAGCGCCAATTATTCAGAGTATTCTGTTTCGAGAAGAAGCAATTTTTGAAGAATTAGAAAGCTTGAAGGAATGTTTCTCGGTCAATCTGGATAAGATTCTAGTAATGTCGCTGTTCAAACTTGCTGGAGAGTTGGCCATTATGCGCCAACAGTCTTTCGATACGGGAACTCTTCCCACAGACTTGGAAACAGCCCACATTGCATCGCCTGACAAAAGTATTTGTCATGCACTTGCAAACACCAACAGACCCGTCAGTCAGACTTCCGTATGCTGCAAATTTATGTAGAAGATCATAAAAAAGGAATTGGGGATTTATTTGAAACCCTCAATCCTTTGTCCAATGCACAATATGGCGTTCATGGGGGAAGACCATGTGTAACGAATCTGCTTTATACGATGTCATGCTGGAAAAGAGCCTTCAATGTCACAGACACTGAATATGCGGCTGACATTTATTTCAAGAAGGCCTTCGACGTTGTTCCACAACAGCGTCTCCTGCACAAGTTGAGAGCAATAGGCATCGAAAGAAAACTTCTTAAAGGGGTCGAGAAGTTGCTCGTTAGTCGTTTCTGCGTAAGACGACAAAAATCAAGACGCACAGGCATAAAGAATAGGGTCGCAGTGCTTGGGCGGGCTCTCTATCTCATGTTTGTTGATTTTTGTATGCAGGAATTGGACTGTAAGTGTGCCAGATTTGCGGATGATATAAAAATATGGAAAGTCGCCAACAGCGCTGCTGATAAGACCGCCTTCCAGAAAGATCTTCGTCGATTAACCGACTGTTCCCGCAGATGGCTTCTATCTTATTCGAACAAGTGTACTCTGCAGAATCTCGGCATTTGAATGAAATTAAACCTCAAGCTTTCTTTACATGCTTGTGAAGCGGCTAAATCTGCAACTTCAGTGTTGTACGTCATCAAGCAGACATTTACAGGTTTCGATGAAGACTACTTTTCTCAACTCTTCCGAACTGTTATAAGGCTACATATCGAATAAAGGATCCAAGCCCGGAGACAGTGGACGCATCAGAATTAAAACCTTCTCGAAGGGGCACAGCGGTTGGCCATAAAATTAGTGAGAGACCAGAAGGTACTGTCATATAAGGTCCGCCTAAATAAGCGTAATCTATATCCTCTGCGTTAGGGACAATTACGCGGAGACTTGATACGGTGTTTCCGTATTATGTGTGTGTATTAGACTGTGCCCTTCTCTGTGACGACATTTTCTAGCTCGCCATTACAATTTATCTCTGGGGCCATCCCTTCGAACTAAGTGGGCGCAAGGAAGATGGGATGTTTAGCGCCGGCGCCGAATCCGCAACCCGTCAGTTTATCGCAAAGGAGTTAAGGCAACGAAGGTTTAACCCTTACTACTGGGATCTTACAGGCCAGGTTCCTTAGAAGATGAGAGAAGACTTGGAAAGCCAGAGGAGGAAGAACAATATATTGTTTACAGAATGAGTTGAAGAATAGTTCATAGGAAGGTTG